CACAGCTTCTTCCCCATGCACAAAAAGGGGGTTTGCTGTAGCTTGCCACCAGCTCTTTGGAAGAAGACCAAACCTCCCTTTTCCACTCCTCCACTCCGCATTGAGCTGACCTGGACAGCATTGACTTTCATCAGGAATTCCACTGTCTTCATGAAGATAGTGCAGGGAGGTTGTCCAAGTCCTGAACCAGGGGACGGTGCTGCAAAAAAACGTGTTCCCATCAGTCCCAGGGTGGGCTTTGTATTTCAAAAGCAAGAGCAGGGGCTGAGACCCTGTCGGGGACAGAGGAATCCCAGCAACAGAGTATGAAACCCAGGAGGTGGCAGGGGGGGCTGAAGCAAGGATTAACTCAGTGTTTCAGTGTTTCTTTCTGAAAGGTTTAAGTTTCGTAAGAAATGATGCTTTAGACCCACTAACTTTCCAGTCCAAGCTCAGAGGAAGAAAAGGTTGGAATTTATGAGGGAAGCTTGTCACAGATAATTACTGTGAGGCCCTGGCCTCCCCAAACCAACCCAGCGGGGCCCAAAGCACCGAGCGGGGCCCAAAGCACCCAGCGCTGCCATCTCTTTGCCACCCCTTGGAGAGTGGAGCTGTAGAGGAGGCAAATCCCACAACAGATGACCAGGGGAGACTCATAGAGACAGTTTAAGAGTTGGCATCTCAGGAGGAAGACATCCAAGCAGCCAATAAAGGCCACTGGGTGCACTGACGTGTAGGGGGAGAGCTGCGTTCACCCGCTGGCTGTCTGTCCTGAGATGTGCTGCTCTGAAAATCAGAATGAACTTGCTTTGTCTGGAGATTCCCAGCTAGGGAGAGAAAACAAGCCGTGATGTCTTGCCTTGGCATCAGGAGGGCCACGGCTCAGTGCTCCCAAGATACTCCCCTTCATCCCCATACCTTTCGGGGCTGCCTCTGGTGCAGTTGCCTCTTCCTTGGGTGCCACACAGGCTGGGGCAGGCTCCATCACCTTTGGCAGTTTGTCAGCAGAGCCATTTGGAACCTTCTCTGCAATAAAACCCCCAACAACTACTAGATGCAAACAGTTTGCCATAAACTGCCCAGTTTGGAGCATTCTGTGATTCTGCAGGAATGGGGAAGGGAGAAAATATCTACAAGATATTCAGAACTGGGAAGAAGTTTCTTTGTAGGAAGGCCTAGTGTTTCAAGTACAACACTACCATGTGAAGCTAGAAACAGGTATAAATGAGAATATGGAACTGGAACAGGTTGGCCCTAGCACAGGGTGCCCAGAGAAGCTGTGGCTGCCCCATCCCTGGCAGTGTTCAAGGCCAGGTTGGACACAGGGGCTTGGAGCAACCTGCTCTAGTGGAAGGTGTCCCTGCCCGTGGCAGGGGGCTGGAACTGGAGGAGCTTTAAGGTCCCTTCAACCCAAACCAGTCTGGGATTCTACAAATATCCCTTTCCTCACGAAAAGAAGGGGCCAAAAAAGGCATATGACATGAGGCATTGGGCATGGAGTGGTGGTAACAGTAAAAATAAAGCCAGCCAACATTTCCTGCAGCCTGGCCACATATTTGGGCCTTGGGACAGCAAGTCTTGGCTCAGGGTTAGACTGGACTCAGCAGGGCTCTAGAGGAAGCCTAATGTTCAGGATCACCACCCAGCAGCTGTTTTGCCCATGAATTGATGAGGCAGTGATTTCCAAGCTGCATTGGGAAGTCACAGCAACAGCTTTGATTAAAGCTAAACCTGGATAAGTCTCGTGTACAACTGGCTCAGGGGCAGCTCTGCCCTCCCAAAGCCTCCAGAAACACACTCCTATCCTGGCCGCCCTGTCTGCTTCCCACACATCAGTTTTATCAGTGGCACTGGGCTGGGGGAGAAAAGTAAGTGCAAACACTAGTCCCTCTAGTAGGCTGTGGGTAAGACAAGGCATGGGCTGTGCTTCTTTCAGAAAGCTTCATCATTTGAATCAGCACACTTGTGCTGTTGCTTCTCACTGGTGTAACTGTGGTCAGTCTACTCTAGCTCACAGACCACATCTTCCTTTAGCCTTTGTATCATGGTAGTGGTTTTAAACTAAAAGAGGGAGATTCAGACTGGATGTGAGGAAGAAATTCTTTACAATGAGGGTGGTAAAACAGTGGCACGGGTTGCCCAGAGAGGTGGTGGATGCCCCATCCCTGGAGACGTTCAAGGCCTGGCTGCATGTGGTTCTGGGCAACCAGTTGAAGATGTCCCTGCTCACTGCAGGGGGGTTAAACTAGATGAGCTTTGAAGAGCCCTTCCAACCCAAACCATTCTATGAATCTATTTCTCCTCTTAGAAATACTTAGAAGTGTCTCGTCCCCTTCCACTGTTCACCATCTCCCTCACTGCTCTGAGTCCCCTCCTTGCCACTGCTGGGGCACCTCCTGGTTTCACCAGCATTACCTGGCAAGTGGTCTTCTGGGCCTGGGCTGGGAGACCTCACACACCCAGCAGAAATGGGGTTTTTTTTACCTCCTTCTGCCTCAGCAGCCTCAGGGATATTCCTCTCCTTGGCGAGCTGTGCTTGCAGGAGCTTCTTAGCCTCACGGAAGGCCATTTCTGCCTGAATATTATTATCCTGCAGCTCATAAAACAAACCTATGTGAGACAGAAAGAGAAGTGTAAGCACACATCCAGCCTTAGCAAAATCATTCCCTTAGCCCTCAGCTAGAGAAGAGAGCAGCAGCAATGCTTGGCTCTAGAGGAATGCCTTGAGTGCACAGGCTGCTTGGTTTTGTACCTGAAAGCGTCCAGGCCACCACACTGGATGGCTCCAAGCAGCAGACATCCTCAAATAAAACCTCTGCCTCTTCATCGTGCTGCAGCATGGCAGCTGTAATCCCACAGAGCAGCAAACTGGGGACAGGGACAGGCAGGTTAGCCTTGCAGGACACCCTCACACCTCCCCCCCCCCAGCCACCCACCAGGAGCATGCAGCACCTCTGGATGTGATTGGGATCCAGAGAAAGAGCCCGCTGGAAGCACTCATGGGCTTTGGTTGTTTCCTCGAGCAGGAGGCAGAACGCCCCATAGTCCAGCCAGCACTCGATGTTGTACTGGTCCTGAGCTACCCTCTAGACAAAAAAGACTATTGCTGGAGTGAGGAGTGCTGCAGTTGTGCTCAGCACACACAACGGCTGGAGATAATGCTGGAGTGACCACAGCTTTCCTCTGGCCACCCCAGCCCAGTTTACCAACAATCAAGCCCTTGTCTGTCACATGCCAGGATTTCCCTTAACTGGATTGTACTGGGCTTCCTCTAAACTTCCTTCAGCTAACACACATCCTCCAGCTTCAGTTGACATCCTCCTAGCTTCCTGTTGAGGGCCCAGTGTCCCCAGTACTGACACTGCATGCCTTTAGGACCAGTTCATCCCATTTGCCCTGGGCTCGAGGCTGACACCCTCAGTGACCTGGCCAGGCCCTGTCTCACATCCTCCAGAGAGCAGCGTCTCCCTAGAAAAACCCTCACATGTGTACAGCCTGAGTATCCTGGTCACGTTCTCCTCCTTTCTCCCTGCACAACAGTCAGGGTTGTCAGCAGCACGGGCCCCACACTGGCTGCCAGCCCAGACACATGGGAGATGGGCAGTAAAGAACAGGGGCTCCTTCACCTGCTGGTGGTAGAGAGATGCCAACTTGTAGTCCTTGATGACTTGAGCCTCATGAGCAAAGAGCCCGAGCTGCTTCTGTGTCATGAGGGATGGAGGGGCAGAAGGAGCAGCTTCCTCAAACAGCAGCTGTAAGGAGCAAGACAGAGTGTTACCTTGGGGAGGGTGAGAATGGTTCGTCCCAGTATAAAAGCAGTCCCCAGTCTGGCACCGCACCAAATACAGCCTGGTATGGCTGAGGCTGGGTGGGTTGAATGGCAAGATGCCCTGTCCTGTGGTGGGACACATTCTGTTATTCCCAGGTACTTCTGCCACACAGAGACAGTGAAAATTCACTATTTGCAGTTCACAGAATCGTGAGAGAATCCCAGACTGGTTTGGGTTGAAGGGACCTTAAAGCTCATCCAGTTCCAACCCCCTACCATGGGCAGGGACACCTTCCACTAGAGCAGGTTGCTCCAAGCCCCTGTGTCCAACCTGGCCTTGAACACTGCCAGGGATGGGGCAGCCACAGCTTCTCTGGGCAACCTGTGCCAGCGCCTCAGCACCCTCACAGGGAAGAACTTCTGCCTAAGAGCTCATCTCAGTCTCCTCCGCCTCTGAATATGGCTTGAGGCCCACATGTGATAACTGCAGCAAAGGAAAGCATGAGCCTGTGTCTGTCTCGAAGGCAAAAGTCACAGGGCTTTCACTAGATGCAGTGTCTAGCCCTGGATCCTAGTGAAGTCATATCCAAGGTTTCTCCCTACCTGGTTCAGGGCAATGTGCATCTGGTCCACGAGGTACACGTAGAGCTCACTGAGGAATGCCTGGAATTGCTCCTGGCTCTCAAACGCTGTGGTCTTCAGGTATTTCTCCCTCACAATCTTCACTACAGCATACTGTGGAGACATGAGACTGTTGGACAAGGCAAGTCCCTCTGCGCCCCCCTCCAGCTCTGTAATCATACAAAGCCACAACACACTGTGCCTGAAGGTCCTACTTAGTTCTGAGGAAGAATTCCAGCCCAGAACTGGTAAAAGCAAGCAGGGGTGAGTTCCTTTCGCACCTCCCAGTCCTGGCTCTCCCTGAGACACTGATGCCCCTTTAGGAACATGTGGGAAGGCTCGTCCTGGAGCTGAGAGAGGGGAACCCCTTTTTTCTGCCAGGGCAGACTGTGAGTGTGCAAGAACAGGTTTTGCCTTCCTCAGGCTAAGAGCATGGGGCAAATGGATATGACCAGCTTTGGAGTCTCCCACCATTGACAGTAATTATTCTTCTGGTGTGTGATCAAAGCATCATCCCCATGCCCTGCAACAGCCGCAGCTGGCAGGATGGCTTGTGGAGCCGCACGTTATGGAGCAGCAGTTCCTCACTGAGAAACTGCCAGGAGAAAACAAGTAGGGAAGTGAAAAGCACAAATGGACTCTACCTTTAGCTGTTCCTTAAAAGCAAAGTATTTGCCAGAGCTGTTGAGCTCAAAGTTGAGCTGACGCTTCTGTTCCTCCAGCGTTTGGTGGTCTGTCATTCCCTGGTCAGGCGGCTGCTTTCCAAAGAGTTCATGGCATTCATTTAGGATGGCAGCAGCAATGCTCGTGACGTGGTGGTGATAATCTTCCACAGCCTAGGAAACAAATAAAGAAATAATCACCCTTCACAAGGCACTCATGCATCAACCTTGAAATGGATTTGATTTCACCTCCCACAAACTCGACCTGAGGCAAGTCCCAGTTAGTCTGTCACTCACCCCTTCCTGTCCATGCCAGAGGGCTGTGAATACATCTACATGTAAACACAAAAGAGCTCCTTCATAATTAGATATTGCTCCTGCTATATTTTTCCTTCAGAACCCAGTATTTCAGTCATTGGTGTCCCTTCTGTAGCAGTATAATTGGCTGTAAGAAAAACTTATCTCATTTGCTGGAAGCCTCTTAAACCTGTGGGCAGCCCTCTTCAGCAGCCTCTAATCTCCATAATCTCAGTGGCAGAAGCTTCCATGTGCTGTGACAATCAAAATATATCACTGGGAGCACTCCAGACAGTCCAGCACAGATCAGTTCTGCAGCAGCCCTGGGGTCAGTTACTGTGGTGCTGCTCCTTCCCCACTGTGCTGTGAATTCACCATCGTCCAGGGGCCACCTGAGGACATTCTCCGACGGCTGCTCTGTGCGCACAGATGAACCAGCACTGTCAGACCATTTCCTGAGGATGTGTCACACACACAAAGGTCCTCAGATATTCTGGGTGACCTGAGAGTGCTCAGGGCTGATTCTGTTCATGTTTGTCTGGGTCTGAGAAAGCACATGGGCTAGTCTGAGACAAGAAACTGCTGGAACTGCCTGGGGGAAATGTAAGGTTTACCTCCTGAAAGGAGGTTGCAGTGAGGTGGTGGTTGGTCTCTTCTTCCAAGTAACAAGGGGTAGGACAAGAGGAAATGGTCTCAAGCTGTGCCAGGGAAGGTTTAGACCTGATATTAGGAACAGTTTCTTCCCCAAAGGGTTGTCAGGTGTTGGAACAGGCTGTCCAGAGCAGTGGTGGAGTCACCGTCCCTGGAAGTGTTCACAAACTGTGTAGATGAGGCCCTCAGTGACATGGGTTAGCGGTGGCCTTGGCAGTGCTGGGAAACAGTTGGACCTGATGATCTTAAAGGTCTTTTCTAATCTTGGTTGATTCTATGATTCTGAGGTTCTGGTAGCATCTTTCTTCAGTATCCTGTTTTCTTCCAAACACTCCCACTGCTGCCTTCCCTGCTTTTGCTACATCTCTCCTCTTCATATGGGCTGCGAACATGAGTGAAGCAGCCCAGGAATGATTTCCTAAGGCATGCTACTGTGAGGATAACATATCCAGAAGTTTCCTTTCTGTGTATTTCCTCTTCAAACCTCATCTGCGTGTTGCTGTGGGGCTAAGATTGAGAATGAAGGTTCTGTGTGAGAGAGATGAGGGCAGGATGAGGTGGCAGAGTGGTGGCAATGCCACATGCTCCTGCACATACCTTCTGGGCTCCTGAAGTCCGGGGAGGTAGCGGAGGGCGAGGAGGAATCATCTGCTTGACCCTGTCAGCAAGAAGACAGAAAAGATCAGCCTGAAGAATGTTCTCACTCTAAAGCCCAGGCCACCACTCCAGCAGTTCCCAACATGGCATGGTGTAGTTGTGGCAGGCATTGACCCCTCAGCACCATCCCAACCCTGGTTGTACCACTACTAGAGCTACAATGACCTTTCAAATACTAATCAAAACCCCATAGGGATTACCATAACTTTTACTAAGAGCTTATTAAAACTCTCGGTGTCAAAACAGTGTTAATTAATTGAGATTTTAATCAAGATTTCCTGCTTGATGATAACCAAAACACCTTCAGTCCTTAGGACACAATCCAGCCCACCAAGCAAAGGTGTGATGGCTCTTGCCCAACTAGCAAAGCAAATTGCAAGAGGCTGACAGAGGATTTTGGATGGAGCCGAAGAAAGAGAGCCACGCTTTGCTACTAAGGCATGTATTTAAACAGCCTTCCCAAAAAAGATCTGCTGACCTCCTCTGCAAGGACATATGTATGTGGCATCAGCTGGAGCTCCCCAAGGCTCAGAGCCCTTCCCATGACTCAGGAGGGTGGATTTTTCATGGCAGGTGAATGTGGAGGAATTACACTGAATTCGAGCAAGTTCCAGTTGAGTAGAAGTGGTATGAAAAGGGCCAGGAGAAGGTTCTACAGTGGTTCACCTTCCTCAACCTGTTCTTCCTAGGAGACAGCAGGCAGCACAGAAGATGGCACACATAATTTCCCTCCAAAGAATGGCTGCTGCTTTCTGTTTGAGAGACATACCACCTGCACTTGCCATACTTTACTCATTTGCTGCATTTTCTCTGTTTTATTCAATAAAATGATACATGCTAGACCTTTCCTAGACTGAAATGCAGCAGGGCTACCACTGGAGAGGAAGAAACTGCCTCAAATCAAACAGACAGTGTTTGAATCAAAGCAGCAGAGATGAGAGAGCAGCTCTGCAATGGATCAACTTGAAAACTGACACAAGAGCTGAGGAATGGGTAGAAGGTTGGGGGAAAAAACCTCCTGTAAATGTAAAAAACAGAAGACAGGGGAAGTTAGAGCAGTGCTACTCAGAGGAGTCCATGATGGTGGCCAGCCCTGACCAAGCAGCTGAACATCATATGCAAGAGGCAAGCACACAGGGATTAATGGGAAACAAAGCCCTGATGGGAACACAGGCACTGTTGTGCTGCTCTGGTGTCTCTCCTTTTGAGAGGAATAGCAGGGAGATGCCAGTTGGGATGAAGACAAGTGTTTTCCCAACACGGCAGATACCAGCTCTTAAGGAGTCTGGCCAAATCCTCCCCCTGATTCCAGTGGGCTTTGGCTCAGGCCCTCGCTTGGTCTGTATTGAGCCTTCCAAGGGGGAGCTTGCTTGCTGTGCAGCCCCGTTTCTACCCTGCAGAAAGGAGCTGTCAACCCCAGCATCACAGCAGGGCTTTACGCACCGTTCGGTGAGCTCCTCTCGCAGTCTCCTTGGTACCAAGGCCTTGTCCAGCTTTATCTCCATCACCAGGAACGTTCCTGCTTCAACATATTGCTATGAAGATAAATATTGCTGTCTCAGTGTCATGCTGTCTAGAGCCATTACAGCATGATAGAAGACTGAGCATATAGCTACAGATCTTCAGCAAATGCCCTTCAAGCTGCAGAGATACAGCTTGTTTTATAACCTCAGAATGATTTATTGCAGCAAAATTCAGCTCAAGAAACCAGTCTAGGAAAAATAAGGAGGCCCTGATAATCAATCTGCTTGCACAATGAAGCTGCATTTTCAGTGTTCTGAGGAAGAAGCCAAAATGTGAAGGAACCCTTCTAAATTTAGAGGGCCTTTCTAGCCTAGTGATAGACTGCCTTCCAGCTGGACGTCACTGGGAGGACTCCAGGACAGCACTGACGTAAAACATCCCTGGTCCAGATCACTCTTGAAGAATTTAATTGCATGCAAGGTGTGAGACACCAGCGTGGTGATGGTCTGGCAAGTCTTTCCTTCTCTTTGGAGATACATAATTACCTGTCCTTCAGGGTTGAGATGCATGGCATTTTCCGCTTCTCCAGTGCCATTTGGCAACTGGATTTTGGGCGTGTGGGACATCTGTTGAAGAAGAAGAAGAAAAGATGTGTCTTGTTTGAGATTCAGTAAGCCTCACACTTTCGCATGTCCAGGGCGTGAGTTGGACATTTCAGGCAGCAAGTATTGATAATGCTATCTCCCAAAGATAATGAGCATCTCTCAGTTGGCTGAGGCACCCCAGCATCAGTCCCTGGTTCCTCCAGCTACCTCTGATGGGGAAATGGATCAATGTGCCTCTCTAGACCTTACCTTCTTGTTGGTGCTTTTCTCTTTGTCTTCCTTCTGAGTCTTGCTGGGAGCAGCTCGGGTAAGGGGAGCACCGAACCCTAAGGTCCCCGAGCCCACCCGAGTCACACTGAGCTGCCTCCTGACATCCCGGAAAACGCTGTGCTGACTTTTGGTCTGCAAAAACAGAAGGAACAGAGAGATTTAAGGACCAGACTAGAGCTTCCCCACGCCTTTGCCTTAACCTCTCACACCACAAAACACATTGTCAGGGTCCTATACACATTAAGAAGCTATGCAACCTTATCCTCCCCTCCTAGGAGTTTAGCTGTGGTGCTCAGGGCCAGCTCTGATACCACATGGCTGTGAAGCCTCAGGTCAGACTATGAAACAAGCTGCCTGAGAACATCCCTGTAGGGTCTCCCTGTCTTCTCTCAAGAGCTGCATTTCCACTGAGCACAGGCCCTTGATTCTTGCTTTAGCTATGTGTTAGATAGGCTGGAACCCAGCCCTGGGCTGCCCAGATCCTGATCTGCTGGCCTGAATTCCTGGCTTGAACTTGGACTTGCCTCACGGCTGTGGACCTGCCTGGTGGTGTAGACTGTTGGATGAACGTGACTACACTCCCCACATCTGCTCAGCAATTTTTTGGGTGCCCCCACCCTCCCTGCAGTGACTCTCAGCTCCTGCCTCACCTTCTGGTGTGGAGCAGCTTCCCTGACACACATGAAGGAGCAGGTTTGGCAGATTGTTTACACACTGTTTGACCACAGAGAGGTTGTTCCCTCTCATCATTGTTATGTGAACTGGGCTAGCAAGAGCAGAGGGGGATCCTGGGAAGAAGGTGGAGCAGCTATACCTAGACCACCTAGACCAAGGAACAGTCCAAAGCATCCACAAAACCAGAGGATGAGAGTGACAGAGTGTCACTTCACTGTGACAGATAAATGCTCCAGGACAAATAGAACAATGCAGCCACGAGGCCATTATTCACATGGATGAAGCAGAGACCATCAGAGAGCTGTGTGCTCAGCTCTGCTTTGCCACAGCCAGCAGTGGAGGCAGGCAGAAGGCCTGTAATTCACTCAACTCCTGTGGCCTGGGCAGCAGCACTCCAGGGAATGTGGGCAGAAAAACCAGGTCTGTGTATCTGCTGTCCTGAAACAAGCTCAGGTTTGTTCTGGGAGTGCTGGGGGAAAATGGAGATGTAGCTGTCACTCTTAATAACAGAGGGGGGAGAAAGGCAAAGACAAATAAACCTCCATGAGCTATAGCTGAAAGAGCTCCAGTGGCAGGTTTTTTTTGGCTGTTGCCTGGGGTAACGCCATCCTTTTAAAGCCACTGTTTGCTTTTCCCAGCAACACAGTTCATTTGCCCATGTTCCAGACTGGGGAGAGAGGAGCATTCTTACAGCTCTCCCTGCTCAGCTGCTGGCAGAGAAAGGAGTGGAGTGAGATTCAGAGCCTCTCTCTGCCCCCAAACCTGCTCATGCATGCCCAGAAATCCCCTGCCTTTGAGAAGTCTACACCTAAAAGCTTGTCTCATTATTTTTCTCCATCATCAGAAAGGCAGTGAAGTTTCAGAGTCAGCCTCTGAGTACCACACTGCCATGTGCCTGCTCCCAAACTCCACCATGTGCAAACCCAGCTGCAGAGCTAGGGCTGAGCCTGGCTGTCTGGTCTTCTCTCACCTTCTCAAACACTTTGCTGTCTTGGTAGGCACAGACACGAAAAGCGCCTCGGATCTGCTTCACACCAGGGCAGAGCAAAGGCATCATGTTGACATATGCCACACCATGGAAGGAAATCTGCTTTTCCTCATCTCCCTGGAAACACAGAACAAGGGACTGAGACACTGAACAGACTGTGATTCTCTGTAAGGAAACAAGGTCACCAATCCCATTAAGAAGAGGCCACAGAGCAAACTGCTGCACTGATGAGGCAGCGACTCTCTGTCATTGGCATACAGCCGAGACGACCTGGATGAATACACTGGAGTCATTCAATATGTAGAATATCAATTCAATCCCAGTGCCTGCAGGGCAGCTTTTCTCTCCCATGCCATTCCTCAGGATGGTCTTTTTGAGACACAGCTGTAAGATTATCAACTGTGTGGTTAGAAATCCAAGTGACCCTACCAGAGGTGTGCATCCCTGACAGGAATCAGGCAGCTTAAGGAGGTCTGAGTGTCTGGGCTAGCAGCAGACTGGTGAGGGTAAGGGAGAAGAGTCTCCATCCTGGCACCAGTGAGTGCTGAAAGGAATTTAGACCAACTTAAATGACTTTGGCCTGAAACAGGTTAAGACCTTTCACACAACCAGCTGTCAGGAACAGAACCATTAGCTAAAGGGCTGTTTCTTCATTAAATCACCCCAGTTTCTGTGCAAAAGCACAATTTATTTACACCCAAGAGAGAAGGCATGGATTTTTTCAAGATGTCCAACCCCATTGGCTTCAGGTAAGCTCACTGAATTACCTTAATTCCCAGAAAGCTCCCTCTCCCTGACCCCTTCCCACTGGGCTGCCACGGACCATCAGCCAGAGCTCTGCATGCTATAAGGAAAAAGTATGATCCTTTGTCTATTTAACAGCTCTGTAAGGCTGATTAATCCCTTCACAAAGCCTCTAGCTCTCTGACTCGCTCTGCCTGGTTCAAGGCTGGTTTTGGTATTACAAAGGCATTGAAAGGAAAATGCTCAATAACACCATGCTGCTCCATAAGCCAGAACAACACATCCCTCCCCACTTCACCTTGTCAGCTTTGCTGGTTTTCCCTTTGCTGGGTAAGGCCACAGATATCCTGCAGACCTCCACAGGCCAATACTGGCACTCTGCTATGCGCTTCTGCAGGCTGAACACAAAGGAGGGCACTGAGAAGAGGCAGAAATCAAGCTGGAGAGCCACATCACCCTCCTTTCTGCCCCAAAACATCCCCCCTTGGGTTTGCTTCCACCCGCTCCCGTGGGACACAGCAAACACCCTCCAGCCACTGGAACATGGGTGCTTTGGGGCAGGCTCAGGACATTCTCTTCTCCATCCGCCACTGTGTGCACTTATGGCACAAGCAGCTATAAAACAATCATGACAGCAACAGGCTGGGTTTCTTCTCTTCCCTGACTACTTCAGAAATGAAATGAATATGAACGAACATGATGAACTTTGGTACAAATCCTGAATTGCTCAGAGCAAACGGACCCTGAGCTCCCATTCAATGTGCTTGGTAACTCCGAAATCAGCAGGCAGGTGCTGATGAAAGTGTAGAGGGAAAAGACTTAAACATCAAACCAGATAGAAGGGAATATTTTCACATGAGGAGTAATTTGGCTGTGAAGCTCACAACCACGATGCAGCTGAGGCCAAGAACAAAGCAGGATTCAAAGAGAAATGGGATACTCATTCTTATCTTAAGAATGTCTAAAGCCACTAAAAGTAACATTTATCCAATAAAAAAGCACATGAAGAGTGCCCACATGACATGAAAGTTTTTTAATGTACTGGGAATTCAGCAAAACTTAATTAGCAGCTCAGAGGAGAGCTGTGTGGGCCACTCTCCTCCATAACTCTGCTGCCCTTTCCTTCAAGCAGAGGAAACAGTCACCACCTCCAGTTGCTGGCAGCATGAGCTGGAGACAGCAGCTCAGGCAGTTCATCTTCTCCCACTGTAGCAGAACTAAGCTGCTGACAGCAGTTAAAGGCAGATACCTGTTCCCTTGCTCATGTGAACACTGCTGGCCAACAGCAAGCCACAGGAGCCATGGGAGGTGAGGCAGAGCCAAGCTTTGATCATGTAAGAGGTCTGAGAGCACCTGCATCTTGCTGCTCCCTGCCTTAGGTTACTCTATGAATGAGTGCATTCTGGGGTGGTTTAACCCCACTGTTCCATGCTGGAAGGGGAGTTCTCTGGACCCTTACGTGACTACTGCAGCAGGATCCAGGTAACAACGACTTTCCATGTCCCACACAACTCTCTTCATGCTTTCTGCTTGGGTCCTAAATTCCCTGTCCTGTGAGAAACAACGCATGGTCAGAGCCAGGACAGCAATCTACATCATTCCCAAAATGTTCCCTGGGGGAGAATGGGAGTCAGACAGAGGAGTCCAACTCACCATCACCATAGCAGAGTAAGTGAGCAGCCCCTCCTGCAGACACCAGAGCCCATTCATACTAGAAGCCTGGCTCACAAGGAGATGACACAACTCCCAGCCCAACAGCTGAGGGCTGGGTGGCTTTCTGGGCACCAGACCTGCCACATGGTCCCTCAGAACTCTCCTCTGCTGTCATAGGGGAACCTTCCCTGTGTCTGCACACTGCACAGAGCACCAACCACCCGCTTCCTCCTCTATCAAGTCTCTGTAAGTCTTCCTCAGTCCCTTCAGTGAGACCTGCTGGTACTCTCCCAGCCATGACACTGCCAGTCCTTCCTCACCTCTCCTTTGTTGAGCTCTCCATCCTCATCCTCATAGGGACCACCAACAATGAAGGAGTTGGGTATGTTCAGAGCGCCAGGGGCCATAATGTTAGCAAGGGGCCACTTTTTGGGCCGGGGTAATGGCTCTTTCTCACCAGCAAGCTTCAGGATGCCATTCTTGAAGAGCAAGGGGAGTTCTTTCTAGAGAAAGATGAGAATGAATGGACTTGCATTTCCAACATGAGCAGGAGCAAGTGCCAACTGCACCAAGCTGGGTCTAACAAAGCAAAGCAGCAATGCAGGGGCCTGGCTTGGAAAACCCACTCCACCACAGACAAAATGGAAGAAAACCAAACAGCCATGTGGAAAAGAACCTGTCATTTCAATCCAAATCTTGCTAAGCAGAACTTGTTTTGTGTTCAAGAGATACATCACACCACAGAGACCCTAAGCACCCATAGCAGAGGCTGCTGTTGCACAGGGACAGGAGTTATACACCTCATGGGCCTTGTTCCATGCTGCATAGTGTGGGAGAACACTCTACTCTGAAGCAGCCAAAACCCATCTCACTGTGCCAGGACTGTTCCTCACCTCCCCAGTTGCTGGCACTTGCAAGCAAGCCATGTAGTTTTGCAGGGGTCCTGTGGCAGCAAACGCTTCAGGGATAGAATAAGCTGCCTCCAGTGTGATGCTCAGGAAGTTACCGTTTGAAAGCTGCATGGCAGTCAGCAGAGGCTCTTTGGTGCTCACTGTCACTTCAAGGCCACCCTAGGAGACAAGGATAAAGCAGAGCCAGTACCTAGACAGTTGTAACACTCCTGCTCTTGAGGGAGAAGCCAGCAGAAACCCAAGGCCAGAATGTACGACGCTGTCTTCTTCCTCACCTCAGATGTGAGAGAGAACAGACCAGCTCAGGAAAGGAATTTTACGATGGGTTTGTCTGAACTGTGGTGATTTGCCTTTTTAAATTGGAGCCTGCTCAAGGCAGAGCACATGCTCCATGGGTCTCATAAAATGAGCCAGGGAGAAAGAGTCAGGGTCTCATAAAATGAGCCACAGCAAAAGAACATCAGAGATGAAATGATTTTTCCCCAGTGATTCAGAGCATGCTGAGCCAGGGCCACACTTTGACTCTACCCTCAGTCTTAATTAGCTGTCCCAACCCGATGGATGGTGTGCGGCAAAAACCAGCTGCTCAGCATTTACTATCTCTCCTCCCTAATAAGAGCCCCTCTCATACGTACTGTGTAACTCCTCTTAGATAGAGAGAAGTTAATGTAATCCCCTCCCCTCCAATTTGCTGGTGGTGCTAACTGCAGGCAGGCTCGGAGCAAAATGAAACACATTTTCCCAGTCTCATGCTTTATTCACCGGGTACTTTTCAACCAGCTGAATGAAAAAGGACCTTGCGGGGAAGGCAGTCAGAGCTGGTACAATAACAGACTCTGAGATATTTTATCCACAGAGAGGAAGGCTAATCAAGCCAGGCAGCTAATCCTGCCATTCTCTTTCTGGGTTATCAGCACTGGGCTTTCCATCTGGAATGGTTTTTTACAGAGTGATTTGGTGGCTGCACACATTAACATTTCCTAGCACGACTTCACCTGTCATAGGCAACAAGGGACAGACGTCAAAAGGAGTAGGAAAGGCCTCCAAGCTGGTAACATATAGGGCTTGTAACATCTGTGATGAGCCAGGTGGCTGAGTCACGCTTGTCTTCCCATTAAAAACCAGCACAGAGCTGAAGGAGCAAAGAAACAGTTCCAGATTCCACATACCTTGGCCTCTGGGTGAAGGTTCTCTGATGGAGAGGTAGGCACTGCATATAAAGGAGCTGTGACCTGAAATGAACATTGTCCTGGGAAGAAACAGGAATGAGAGAGCACAGAGTGAGACCCTCTATAGGGAAATGCCAAGCTACTGATGACATCCCCTCTTCCCCAAACCCAGCCTCCTACAGGTGCTATGAAGAGCATTTTGTCAAAAGGAGGGAAGTGCTTAGGGTGGTGATGCTCTGGAACAGGCTGCCCAAAGAAGTGGTAAATGCCCCATCCCTGGCAGTGTTCAACGCCAGGTTGGACAGAGCCTTGGGCGACATGGTCTAGTGTGAGGATTCTCTGCCCATTGCAGGGGGTTGGAACTGGATGATCTTAAGGTCCTTTCCAACCCAAACCATTCTATGATTCTATGATGCTATTCCTTTGCCAGGGATCCATAAACAAAGATCCAAAAGTGCCAGGGAGTAAAAAATGGTTACAGAGGCTGTGGAAGTCAGTGTTGTACCTTGCAGTAGAGGTAGAAGGTCTACCACAGCTTGACCAAGAGATGTGGTCCTCTCCTTCTGTTTCTTGTCCTTTTGCAACATTTCTATCACTGTCACTAGAGAGATAAAAAAGAGAGGAGTCGGCAGTTTCTCAGACAACTTCAGACTAGCAGTTCAGGGGTTGAAAAGGGTCTGTGTCAGCTCTGGCATGTGCTCCTACTCCATCTCTGACAAGGGCTGACAAGAACAGTGAAGCCAAGGAGCACAGGCCAACATGAAAGGGGACCCTTCCAGCTGGCAGAGACGGGGACAGAAGCTCTGAGACCCTGCCACCACTGCAGTGCTATTCTTAATGTGTGACTCCTGCAGTCAGTCACAGCAGGCAGGCTGAGCAGGACAGGGCAGCTGGTGACTCCCACCTCCAACCAGGGACATCCAGGTACTTACAGAGTACAGGGGTTTGTGCAATGTCATCCAGGGAGTTGGGCCCATCGGGGCTGCACTCAAAGCTGGTTGTGAAATTGTAGTCTGCTGTCCCATTTGGCAGGACATCAGTCCTGGAAGACTGTCCCACGATCACTCCGTTGTACTCCACACACACTGAAGTGACTGTCACATCACTTTTGAGAGTTTTCTGTCAAAAAAAGGCACATTAAGCAGCTGGCTCTGAGGCAACAGCTCTAGGATCAAAGTTGCCTCTGGCAGGCAGCTCACTTCAGTGCACAGGACAGGGTTCTCCAGTGGGGTCTTTGGTTGTTCCCTACAGGAATGGGGAAGAGGAGCAGAGCTTGGCCATGCCAAGACCTCGGCCATGCCAAGACCTCAGCCTTCCCTGTCTTTTAGGAGGGAGCTTTCCTGCTCCACCATGCTGTGACACCCCAGGGATTATCAAGAACTGCAGCAGCTGGGAGGGAGAGGTCCAGGCTTCACCCCAGGAAAGGCAATGAAAGACACATCTGAAGCAAATCCCAAAATACCCCACTGATAGGAGAAGGGGCAATGGGCTCAAACTTAAACAGGGGAGATTTAGGTTAGAGATGAGGAAGAAGGTCTTGCCTGTGAGGGTTCTTACGTGCTTTCCCAGTTGGCCCAGAGAAACTGTGGCTGCCCCATCCCTGGCAGTGTTCAAGGCCAGGTTGGACACAGGGGCTTGGAGCAACCTGCTCTAGTGGAAGGTGTCCCTGCCCGTGGCAGGGGGTTGAAACTGGGTGAGCTTTAAGGTCTCTTCAACCCAAACCAGTCTGGGATTCTGATATATTTGTGCTTCCAGGAAGCTCAAGACTTTTGCAGTCTCCTCAGCTACATGACTGAGCTGAGAGGGCATTTGTGTCTACCGCATGGCTGCCAATGGCCTGGAATGACAGAAGGGCTCCAGCAAGCTCTTTGGGGAGCTCTGCCATTTGTTGTTACACCACCTTCATACCACTTGCTTTAAGCAGAGATGAGGAGGTTTCAGTTTCAAGGAGGAACATGGTTTATTTCTCCATGCAGGGAGGAGCAGCCACCACCCTGAACATGGGGCTGTTGTACCCAAACCCAGCTTTTCTTTAGTCCTGAGCCACAGAGGTGCCTGACCTCCACAGGCCTCTCCTCAGCACCCTCCCTCCTTGTCGCTGGGGTAATGAGTTCCATTTCAAAAGGAGATTTCATTCACTTGGTTTTAATTTTCAGTCCTTCTCACTGCCTCCTTGAGCGTACATTTTATGAATGGCTAAACAGAAGAATCCAATTAACCTTTCCCTGTTCCATTAATTATCCTAGGCTCCTCTCTCATGCTTCTCTCCATTACCTCTAATTAAGCAGATTCCACACTTCTTACAGCTGGATATTTTTTGGCCAGAGACATTTCTCAAGATGGAGCAACAGGAAACCACAAAGCAACATTCCACATTCAATCTATCCTTTTTAGCATTGTTTTTCCTCCTCATACCTTACACTTCTCAACTAAGATGCTGTTTGCTGAATCTGTCAGTATGAGAGGTGCTCAAACACTACAATGTAGAAACCTCAAAACCACAACCCAGGGAGCTGCTTTCGGTTTGCTGGTTTTGCCTGCTGCTCAAGCAGAAGCAGGGATTTGCATTTTTCTCGTGGCAGCAGTAGCTGAACTTGTCCTCTGTACTCCCTCCTAAATGCCAGTTCTCCTAGAAGACTTTAAGGCCAACTGGGTGCATCCTGCAGCACATGGAAATCATGGGAGTCATGGTTTGATCAGAACCAGCCCATCATCCTCCCTCTAACTGCCCTGGAGCCACTGCCTTTTTAAAAATAGTCACCCTCTTGGTTTCAACATGATATAAACTGCTGTAACTGGGATGAAAATCCAAATTTACATCCAAAGTGAGATCTTTGGAAGTCTTTGTCTCACTGAAGCACATTTTTCACTGTGTTTTGCTTTAAAAAGCTGCCATTTACACACAGATAGGCGGAGAAGGCAGAGAGATTTCAACCCATCTCTGGAGCATTGCTGAGGAGGTGCATTCCCCAGCCTACATGAATCACAAGCCTTTACTCTGTGCAAACAAGTCCTCAGTGGGGAGGAGGAAGCCACAGTGTGGCATAGCTGAATCCATGATATTCCCACCACTCCTTCCTATAGCCTTATCACCTCACAGCTGTTCTCAAATAGGATCACAGCACACCACATCACTCTAGCCTTGTTTATTAAACCATTTTCAGAAGAGCTTTACCAGGTCCTGTGCCTTGAGCACTGTGATCTGTACTGGTGTTGGTTGTGACTCGCTGGAAACAGATACAGTGGACTCTTTCCTGGAAGGCAGCCCCGCAGAGACCTCCATGGCTCTGCAGGAAAAAGAATGAGGAAAAAAAATATGAAACTGCTCGATTCCTCTCCCAGAAGCGTCTGCAGGACCCAGCAGCCATGGTTGCTACTGTTATTCTGGGCCTGGCTGTCAAAACACCACTGAAAGCGCAGGGCTTTGTCAGTGAGAAAGCTCTCATGAGGAGCGTAGGGAGGACATGTAATGCCAAAATTATGCAGCTCAGTAAAAGGAACCCAGCTGCAGCTCCCAGCTCCTCCTGCACATGGAGAGGGTTTGGTATGAGTGCTGCTCCCAGCCAGGCTCACCCTAATGCAGCCTTAACCTGACAGAGGGGAGATTGAGATGAGCTCTGAGGCAGAAGCTCTTCCCTGGGAGGGTGCTGAGGTGCTGGCACAGGGTGCCCAGAGAAGCTGTGGCTGCCCCATCCCTGGCAGTGTTCAAGGCCAGGTTGGACACAGGGGCTTGGAGCAACCTGCTCTAGTGGAAGGTGTCCCTGCCCATGGCAGGGGGTTGGAACTGGGTGAGCTTTAAGGTCCCTTCCAACCCAAACTGTTCTATGATTCTGTGAGTCTTGCTTGGCTGGCAGTGGAGCCTGTGGGGCCGAAGGCCTCAGCTCCTGTCCCGGCCCCACAGGGCTCCCACAGCCCCAGGCCCTGGCTCCATCCTGCGCCATGGGTCTGTCTGCAGTACTTCCACCCCTCTGAGTAACGGCTGGGCGGAGGACACAGTGACCCCACAGCCTCACACTCCCCAGCTCCAGCCACCCCAGAGAGGATGAGTTACCAGTCTCCACCCCGGGGCTGGCGATCGCCTCAGCGTACCGTCCT